ACGCATGACGATAAAAAAGGAGTCCTTTCTACTGTCCTACTTGTCTTTACAGCAGCAAAAGTAAATATAAATGCAACAGCTCTGAAGCACTCATTTGACATAATCTAGATTGGTATAAATACTACACAAATGATTTCATAGTCCTATTATATTGTAAGTCAAGAATCACACAAAATAACAGATGGTGATGTCTGATCGAGAATAAAATTCACAAACCTTGAACTATCTAAAGAGAATGATAGCACTGCAGCTCTATTTGACTCAGCAACACGTATAAATAGCTTTTTGGAACTGCGAGCAGCCGATACCCCTAACATCGAAGACGACACTCCTCCATTCCAAGAAATTAAGAGCTGCGCACATGAAGAGTTTTGTCCGATTGTACTACACAAGCTTAAATAGCAAAAGTAAGAATGAGCGGCAAAAATCAAAAACACATTACTCAGCATTCAGATTTTCAAGACAGTGCTGGGGTACTGATCGACGGTGAAATAGCAGACAATCACAGCAAAATTAATTGAGTATTTACCCCAACACGGAGACTTTGCAGCATGTGCTTAATGTTCTCACTTCACACCACTAAACTCACTTCAGCAGACTTGTTTGGATACGATCTTAACGACATTTAATCTTAACCATTTTTCACCTTACGACATTAAAAAGTGTGGAAAAAAACTTGGAGAACATGAGTAAATAAAGAGGTTAAGGATGAAGTTTGTGATAAAAGCTGCCTAAACATATCTAACCCGTTTACACATAACAAACTAAGGAATCGCATGCATGGATGGCTCAGTTTTCGGGAAGAACGTTAGCTGTGATAGAGGGCATAATGATTTATTGGATAACAATGATATTGGACTGGATGATATCAACCACCTCAAGAGACTCTAGATGGTCTCAAAAGGAATGAAAGCAGCGAGATTTCGCTTGAAGCGAAGCACATGTAAATTTCAAAGACAAAAATAAAACTTTTGGAACACTGTTAGATGTTCAAGGTAAAACAACTTCGCCTGCAGACGATAGAGCCACTGCAAATGTGTTTACCAGAAAATATCAAGGAGTTGGGATCTTTCCTTGGCGTTTCTCGCGATTATGGTGAATTTACAGGAATTTGTCAAGCTAACCGCCCACTGAACTCAAGGAAAAAGATTAGGAATGGCGTTGGACTGAAGAGCGCTGAAAAGCATCGTCGCTATCGCAAGATACTGCTGGAACGTGGTGACAGTACATTGAGAAAGCATAAAACACCTCTTTTTTGCCTGCTGAAAAAGGAAACTTAAGCCTCATGTAGACAGGGGATGGCAGAGATTTCCAAATGCGACTGAGCAACTTTGATTTTCCCCATCCTTGCCTTGGCGGCAGGGTAGTCCTTAGAAGAAGCCAACAGGTATTCTTGTGACAGCGACAAGGTATACGAGATCAAAAGAATGATAACTGGAAAAGGTAAGCTCGCGATCGCTGGTGCTTCTCTCTCATTAACAAAGAAGAACGAGATCATACGATAAGTAAAAGTCTAGCGCTAGGCAATAGGCCTATGGTGTGAAGAAGTTGGCACAATTCTTTTATGCGGAAAGGTTCAAGACTAGCAGGCATCCGGGTAACATTCGCTCCAGAAATGGATAAGCCCCTATAGCAGCTCTGAAACTACATCCATGAGAATCGCAGTTGATAGTTTTCTCATTCGATTCATGTAGAATACCGGGAATTGCAAATTCGGTAACACAGAAGGATTGCCGCGTCTCGTGCCACCACGAGTAGGAAAAAAAAACTATAATAGTGAGCTCAAGTTGAGAGGTATGGACCAGAAACTTTCCACCAACATTTCCCAAATTCGAGGAGGTGACCGTCATATAAATGCGCTAGCAGCAGAGGATGGTACGGTTATTGCGGGTTTCACGCCACAACCTTGAAGAGGGGAAGGGGTGGGGAGGGATAGGATCAAATGTCGTAAGCGCATCCCCTTTTGAGGAGGGAAGCACACGGTCCACCTCAGTCGCTTGAAGTATCAATCACGCCAGCTCCAAAACATGTAATTTTTTCACTTATCTCCTTGAATGACCTAGGACGTGGATGAGCAACACAGTATTGAGGAAAACTTAGTAGTCTTACAACTGAGAATGGTACTAGATAGAATAAGACGGCAACAACCACAAATGTAAGCGAAAAAAAGAGAAATGAAAGCAAGGTATAGATTTGTTCAAAAAATCGTACCTGCATGATGATGAGTCGCAATAGAATAGCTGCGATTTAGTAAGAAATTTGAACTCAATATATCCACTTCTAGATATAGGCTTCAGCAATTGTATTGAAGCAATAAGGCTACCTGCAAGTATCATTGTTCACTTATAACTACTATAACTGGCATACTAGATCAAACAAACAAAAAATTAGTACCATAGACATTACCTCTCCTCTTTCGATCAAAAAAGAACTTATTGTGAGCCAAAACGAAAAAACCTTGAACGGGTTTTTAGAATCACTACAGTGCTAATTTGGCAAGAGATCTTCATGGAAAACAGAACTCAGGTACTTTTCAACAATTACTACGTGCAGTGCGACCACAAAGTTAGGAAAAAAATGCCAAACATCTTTTATCATGATTTTCCAGGAGGCTGATTACAAATATGACGTCCATCTTGGATAAAAGCATTTCAAGCGCCAGTTTGATTCAGATACTGCGCCAAATTGCTCCAAAATGGCGCCAAAAATGGATGTCACATGCGCCTGAAGGTCGCTGTAAACTGTGAAATCACAGTAAATCTGTTGCAAACAGGTGTGCATCAAATAGAATCTCCAAACATGAATGTCATATTCGTTATCAAGGCTCTGAACTACCTCTGTTGGCAACTTCGACGACAAATATTGTTTGGGCTCTGTTGTCCGAAGGAAGGAGGGAGGGACATTTGTTGCTGACGAAAAGAAACTTATCAAAACGGTAACCTCTGGAAAAGCTTTCGAGAACTTAACAAAACTACACATTTCAGTACTTGTAACTCTGCAATAATCCCGAGAAATAGAAGAAAAATAGCTTCTAACAGAATGAACATGTCCAAAACCACAACTCAGCCTCATCGAGATAGCCTGAAGCTTCAATTCTGCACCATTTATTCAAACTTTTTCTCGGTTTTTTTTGCTTGACTGACTATCCGATTCTCCTTTTTCAACAGGTTATAGCATGTTCTTTCCTCGTCACAGCAGCTTAAACAAATGTAGCAGCATGCCCCCTTACTCCAACAAACCTGTCGGTACTAAGTGGTTTTGCTGACTGACTGAAAGCTTCAGCATATGTTACAGATTTTGATGCTTCTTCTGTTAACAGCCGTATGAACAATGGCAACAGCATGTTCCCCTTAGGAGAACAGATTCGAGTTTGGGACTGTAACAGTTGTCGAGTGTCCAGGTAAGGCTGGTGTCAGAGTCCGCGATCCGTCGCAGGTTTCGCGCGATTTCGCGCGATTCACGCGACGGGTCACGGAAATCACAAGTGCCCGATCAATACTGCAAGGTGTTCTCCAATCCTGCCGCCACTTCTGCTTGATAGTGATGGCTGAATGACGACTGCTCATGATTCCACTTGTTTCATATTCAGTGTTTCAAATGTTCACACACTTGCAATTTTTGCGATCCGTCGCGTGAATCGCGCAAATCGCGAAAATCAGCGAAACCTGCGACGGATCGCGGACTCTGACACCAGCCTAACTGGTGCCAAGGATCAAAATGTCCCACTCTAATTTCAACCATTCATGTTTACGCGTCTTTTTTAGCTGTTTGAAACTATCCATGACATGAGGCAAAACACGACACAAGAATTGAAATGACTCACCTATTTCCTCTCGTTTATTTGCGCCGAGGTTGTACTTGTGAACTGTTATAGTTTCTCTTGATCCAATTGCAATCTGATCAAAATCACTGTGAATTGCGAGGGCCTGCAAGACTTTACTCTATGGAATTGGTCGACCTCAACTAAGACAAAGCGTACCAAGAACAACAATGACTCTAATGAGAATGACCTTTTGTTAAACACACCTTTACGTGGGAGAGTGCCATGTCCACACTATTCTTGGCATATATTCCGACTTTTGCAAATTTCGTTGCTTCAGCAGAAAAATTTAATAGAAACGACAGTATGCATGCAAAAATAGCTCTGTACATAAATCGATACCAAACCTGAATTGAAAGTAGACGATAATTAGGGTGAAAACTCGAAAATTCGGTGAAATTACGAGTAAAAATCTCTTTGGGGCAGAAAAATATGATAGGCCAATGAGAATAGCACGTGGCCTTGGCTTGGGTTACGCAAAAAAAACCATTCAAAATTCACAAATCGATTGTGCCACTCAGAATTTACGACCGCTGATACCCTTAACGATTACGTGTATAGGTAGGCACGTAAAACACTCGCCTACGAATTGCTACGCGGCTTAAGAGATTCGATGATTCGGCAAAAAAAGAATGGGCGCATATCGATCAGAATCGGATACCAGCAGATTTTCCTGAAATTCGGAAGGGAGATTACGACCGAGTCGACAGGTACAATCCTTTTCGCCGATTCTCCAAATGGCCGATTATCACCGGATCTCCTGATCGATTCGTAAACATTTTTCGTAGATTCATCGATACTCCTCAGAAAATTGCATAAGAACGCGACAGAAACATGTGCTGGCCGTTGTTCATTGCTGACGTTACATTCGCAACCCATACGAACCCGTGAAAAGATTTTAGGGATTTATTTACCAAAAGAGGGGCATTAAGTGCAATAGTTCGTCGCCTATGAACAGTAATGCTAATTTTGGAGAGGGTGGAAGCTCCAAAAGGCCGATGTCAGACTTTGCGAATCGCGCGATTCGCTAGCGTCCGCGGTCGCGTTGCGGTACCAGCCAATTGAGTGATTCACTGGCCGCGACGCTAGCGAATCGCGCGATTCGCAAAGTCTGACATCGGCCGAACACGGCAACCATGTCCCTTCCACTCTCTCCTGGAGCCTTCTATCACTGTACGAACTGTGATCGGCAGCAAATCATGACACATGCCCCACTCCCTAACTTTGCCTCTTGATATGCATCGACTAAGAGAATAACGGCTTTCGACCGGCTTCTGCGATCTTCTGGAAGCAGCGAGAAGCAGAGCAAGCAATCACACCGACACGTATTCAACCTTTTGTTGCATATACCATTATTGACGTCTGTAGTACAACAGATCCGGTTTACCTGATACGAACTTTCCCCCATATTCTCTGCCGCGAATGGCCAGAGCACAGACGATTAGAGAACGGCGCCTGGCTCTGCTCCAGATCCTGGAGAGGAAGGTGAGGGCTATAAGGTAGGCATGGATGGGGGAAGGATTTCAGAGTGGGTGGAGCAGTCGCAGTAGTCATGAGCCGCTGCTTAGGGAGAGACAGAGTAGACGAGAGCATCAAAGTGAAACGGTCCAAAGAAGCGGCCTAATGGAAAGGCGTTGTTGGCTAGTTGTCTTAACCGGCGGCAGTGTGCGTCGAACCCATGAGGTCAATGGAGCTGAATTTACAAATGCGCGCTTAACTAGCTGGCTTTTTTTTGTCTCATAACCATCTTTACGTGTCAGAAGAGGTACTCTAGTGTGATGATAAATATCTTCTACGAGCCCCTCTTTTTTCACGGAATACAACTTTTAATCCTGAATTTTGAAGTCCAACACTCCACTTAAACACTCACACACACAACTCACACAACGGATAATAACACGTAGTTGTGAGCACTCTCATTGGGACGGCTTTTTTTTCAAAGAAAAAGATAAAAAATAAACAATTAGTCAGTTACACATATTGTCGAATTTTTGGGACATGGTCGTGAACATCAGTGTCACTGACGTAATCTCCCCCCAAGAAGTAGTTGATTGTGACGCAAACATGTTACAGTGGTTCAGACAACGAAGGTAAGTACGGTCGGGGGTCGCCACCTACGGGGGGCCGACTATGCACACTGGGGAGGGAGGTGATCAAGCGCAGAAGATACTTGGAGGCGCGCCAGTAGATTGTGGTGGCGCGGGGTGTGGGTACTTAGGACAGAACGCGACTTTTTCGCTCTTCGCAACGCGACATCGCGCGGCAGGCTGGCGCACCCGCAGCGAAAACAACTACGGTATATAAGAACGCGCGATTGGAGCGCGATATTTGTGTCGGCTTTGATTGCGACAAGGAGTTTGAAGCTTAATAGCCATGGATTTGATAATGAACGAGGAAATGGTAACCAGAAGTGGACCGCTAACTAGCAGTGAAGAGGGAGGTAGGTTATTTTTGCAGAGATGGATGGTAGAGCTTCTGGAGAACCTGGAAGAGGAATGGTTGATGGACGTTTGATGAGACGACTGTAAACTTCTGCATAGGGGTTATTTGGGGCCCTGATCATGAATATGACACTCATTTTTCACATTCGTGCTGTTTAACGCATACTTTCTGCTTTACTAAGCTTTCTCACCTACAGCGCCTACGACTAAGCTTAGGGGAGGGGAGTGAAACTCCGGAGTGGGTAAACCACGCACCGTGTGGCAAAAGTTGGAGTGTGTCAGACCACAGGGGAATGGCCTACCCACTTTGGAGCCCTACACTACTCAAAGGCTTAGTCCTACTGCGATCTAATTAGTGCGAGGGCGCAGACGAGCAGGATGCAGGCGCCGAATAGCGCTAAGAACAAATCAGGACCCCGAATAACCCCTATACAAAGTTTAAAACGAATTTAGTGGGAAACAGTTGTGGCGCCACCTGGCCCCAAATGGCGCCAGCGTCCAAAATGAGTATCATATCCGTAATGAGGACAGAAGCGTTTCGTAAAAGATGTTATACCCTTATGCAGAAGTCTATACAACAATATGAACCCACAAAATGCAAGCACAAGCGGCCCTATTAAACCCTCGTTCACCGATAATTCGTAAAACACCATTTTAGTGGCATCGCCCGGAATCGTGTAAGTCACAAAACGTTTTCAATAATGAGACAGAATTAGTGATTCACCGCATTTATCAATACAATGGGTGTGAGCGCGGGCAAGTAAGGAATCAGAAACTTACAAATTCACGCATGCAAAAAAGCTGCTCCAATCGCGCGTTCTTCCATACCGTAGTTGTTTTCGCTACGGGTGCGCCAGCCTGCCGCGCGATGTCGCGTTGCGAAGAGCGAAAAAGTCGCGTTCTGTCCTAAGTACCCACACCCGGGGGGGGGGGGGGGGGGCAGTCGCCGCGCGCGATCTCTGCGTTTTTCTGTGTAAGCATTTCCTCTTCGCTAAATCGGGACTAAGCCTCGGGCAGGGGAGGAGGAACTCCAGGATCATAGCAATTTTCATCTTCCCAAAGTTCCTGCCCACTCCTAGGCTTAGTACACAGGGCGCGGACGAGCAGAGATCGCGCGCGGCGTGCCCCTCCTCCCTCCCCCCCCCCCCGAGCCACATTGCTCCGATACTAGAAAACACCACGGCGTTTTTCTTACCGTTAACGAAGCCAGCGAATTTCCGCATTCATAGCGCAGACGCCCTGTGTCCTTGCGTGATTACCAGCAGTTGCCGCTTGCGTTTATCACTAATTGGAAGAGTTTTGGCAGGCATTTATGTTATTCTCATGTAATGTCATTCCGTATAGTCTACGCCCAACATTCTGGGTGCGCGTTGCACGCCTGGGCTCTGTCTCGCTCAACGGCCAGTACGGGCGCGCGTGGCTAGAGAAATGTGCGCAGCGTGGTGGCCCCGCCAGAGTCAACCGTGCGTTGCGCAGTTCTCAACGGCATTTGGCAGAGTCAACCCTGCGTTGCGCAGTTCGCAACGGCACGTTGAGAGATCCTCAACGCACGCTGTATGGGCGGAGACGCAGACGGCTCGAGCATGCGAGTGTGAATGTTCGCGCGAGAGAACGTGTCTAATCGGGCGAAACTGCGCAACGTGGCCGTTGAGAACTGCGCAACGCAGGGTTGACTCTGGTCCCAACCCAGCGTGCCAAGGGCCGGGTCCGGGCCAAAGCTATGCGTTCAAGGAATTTTATACCGCCTCCCCCCCTCGCAGCACATTCAAGACGCCTCCCCCCGTCGCCAGCACACAAATCCGTCTGTTACACCACACATGAAACGACTCCCTACAAGCCGAGGTATGAAAAAGTTGTTCAACCCTCTCCGAAAACCTTTCCTCAAAAAAAAAAACCGTTGCCCCCACCCTCCACCGTAAGAGTCGTTCAACAATCGAAAAATCAAAGAAAGATCATTAACGATGGATCCTACAATGAAATCGAGTAAAAAACGACGTGTTAGCCATGAGAAATACCAGCCAGCTGTTTACTGACTGATCTTGGGTGTTGACCTAGGAGCAGCCTATCTAATAGAAAAATTTGAACACATGTTCAAATGTTGTATAACGGAAAGGAGATAAAATTTTATTTCAGAGGAATTCTAAAAGTTCACAATAATTTGAAGTATTCGAAAAAACTCCGAAAACTCCCAAAAACAAAGAAAAAATTCAAAAAAAATATTCCTTCGAAGTCTCTGCGATATTTCGGTGTATAACCTTCGCCAGGCCTGAAATGCACTTATCACAGCTATTAAAAGTAAATTGGTGGTTCCTCGAACCCACATATTAGTTGGTCCATAAGTCTGGCAACAGGACTGGCTAAATTTGGATTTTAATATTTTTATTATCTTTTTGTCCCATTCATTCAGCATAATACACACCATCAATATCTACCACCCATTACCGACGCAATAAAGCTGTTCTATCCTCTTTTGTAGAAAGATTACTGATTTTTGATCGAAGAAAGATCAGATCTCGATTTTGACGTCATGATGGTTAGGATGAGATTTGTTTTCAGGAGGTGATCTGGAGGAGCAGGAGGACTCCTTTGGCAGAAGTTCATTGCTAAGGTGATATGGAGACGCTCTGCAAAGCCAGAGTCTCAAAATTTTCCTGAATTTTCTTAGCAAGAGGTTTTTCAACGGTGTCATACAAAAGCAAACTTTGCCTTGTTTTTCTTTCGTATTAAAAGCGTTGCATTCGAGCTGTGGATAGTTGACTTTCGCGTTGACTGCGACATCTACACGG